AGAGCACAACTAGGAGCCCTCCTGCCCAGCCAGCAACCCTCACCGGTTGTTTCCTACGGCTACCACAGTAGCCTCCGATCAGCAACCCCATGCTGTGCTAAGCCTAGCCTCTCCCTTTGACACAGAGGCCCCCAAGATCCGAGTCCCCCGCCACCTTCGTCAGACCTACATCCGCCAGGTGGGAGAGCCAGTCAACCTGCAAATCCCCTTCCAGGTACGTATGGCCCCTGCCCACGATAACAGCCTGGATGGAAATCAGGGCCCCTACTTGAGGTGCGTCGCAGGAACCCTGGAAATGTCAGGATCCTCATGAGGGTCGGCCCTCATGAGACCCACCAAGAGAGCTTCACCCTCCCTCTGTTGTACACATGACTCAGTTGTGATTCTCCAGCCTGTGGTTGGGATGGGTGGTCCGAGGGTTGGCTGGACACCTGGAGAAGGAGGCTGTGAGCAGCACCTGCATCTCTCCTGGAAGGGCTGTTGGGGCCAGCTCCCCTGAGCACAGCTCCAGAGATCCCCGGAATTGAGTGGGTATGGGGGTGCTGGCATCTCCTGCACCTACCCTGAGAGTTCCTCCTTCCCAGGGGAGCCCCAAGCCTCAGGCCTCTTGGACCCATAATGGCCACGCCCTGGACAGCCAGCGGGTGAATGTGCGCACCGGGGACCAGGACTCCATCCTCTTCATCCGCTCGGCCCAGCGCTCCGACTCAGGCTGCTATGAGCTCACTATGCGTCTGGAAGGCTTGGAGGCCAAGGCAGCCATCGACATCCTGGTGATTGGTACGGGGCCAGGGGAGGCGGGGCTGCCTTGCTGGGGACCCAGAGACCCCACCTCCTACCCCAGAGCTGACCGCTGACGGGATGAGGCCAGGGAGTGTGTGACGGGAGCCAGATCTTGGGTGTGGGGATTTTGCAGCAAGCCCAGCCTTCCTCCTCACCCCCCTCACACTCTGGCCCTGCAGAGAAACCTGGACCCCCCAGCAGCATCCGGCTACTGGACGTCTGGGGCTGCAACGCTGCTCTTGAGTGGACACCGCCCCAGGACACAGGCAACACAGAGCTCCTGGGCTACACAGTGCAGAAGGCAGACAAAAAGACAGGGGTGAGGCCCGCTGGAGCAGTGTGCGGCGGGGGGAAGGGGCCAGGTGGCCAGGAAAGCCCGGCCCTCCAAGAGTCCAGGGAGCATGCTCTAGTCTAACTACCACTAACCTGATCCTCATGTGGCTTTTTAGCAAGATCCCTTTCCTCTCTGGGCCTCAGCTGCCTCCTGAAGACTGCAAGGGGGGCTCTCTGCGGCCCTTCAAGGTCTAGAGCAGTGCTTCTGGAAATGTAATGTGCCTATGAATCACCTGGGAATCTTGCTAAAATGCCAGTCTTAACTCGTTAGGTCTGGGGCGGGGGCTGAGATCCTGCACTTCCCAGAAGTTCCCAGATGATTCTGAGTTTGCAGGTCCTCAGGCCACACTTTGAGCCGTAAGAATCTAGAATTCTCTGAGGACCCTAGCGAGGTCATCTGAGTATCCAGGGACCCCGTCTCCCAAAGCTGGATGGTTCAGCTCCCTCGGGATAAGGCCTGGAATGAGCCCCTCTGAGGAAGGGGCTGCAGGGCGAGCCAGGAGGGCAAGGGCAAGGGTCAGAGGAGAGGATGACTGGGCCGGGGTCCCTGCAGCAATGGTTCACGGTCCTGGAGCGCTACCACCCGACCACGTGCACCATCTCTGACCTCATCGTGGGAAACACCTACTCCTTTCGGGTCTTCTCGGAGAACCAGTGCGGGCTCAGTGCCTCGGCCGCGACCACCAAGGAGCTAGCCCGCATCCAGAAGGCAGGTGGGTCTGGTCCTGGGGCCCTCCTTCCCTCCAACCCCCCGCCCAGCCAGGCTCGGCCTGTCCTGGGGCATCAGCACCCCTCCCTGGGGGCTCCTGGTGGGTGCCGCTCGCCAGAGCATCTGCTGCCCTCTCCACGCCCACTCCACAGCTACGCACATGCTCACGCGTTCACACGAGGGACTGTAAAGAAATGGATGTGGTTGATTGATTTTAACAAACACATCAGAGCAAACCCGTGCAAAGGAGATGCGCCCCTTGGGAGGCTGTGCGCTTATTCCGAAGTCGCTGGTGGCTGCCAGCATGGTAGCGATCCCGGGGGCTCATGCGCGGTGTCCCAGGGGCACTACTCGGAGAGGCAGCGTGCGTGGGTAGGTAGAGGCCGGTGAGTTGGCTCAAACACAAGCCTCCTGACCCTCGTATAACAGCACACAGATGGACAGGAGAGATACGGGGATTTACTGTCTCCACACAGCCACGTGACATGCTTGCGTCAAATATGAAATGCCAAGCCCTTGCTCCCTGTCACCCTGTGATCTCCAGCAACCCCCCCGCCCCCCCGCCGCCGCCCCAGCACGGAGTCTGTGTAGGCTTGGGAAGGCACACGCAAATTTTTAACACCAGCCTGTGCTGCACAGAACGAGGAAGACATTTTTGTTTAAAAAAGGAAAACCAGTCAGGTCTCCAAAGACAAACAGAAATGAAATGTGGATCTCTGGGTTGCAAGTCCCCAGCCTTGGCCAAGAGCAACTCATCTATCCAGTTTTCCCGCCCGTTGCCCTCTCTGTCCTCTCCCTGACCCACCCAGGCACGGTCCTGACTTCCTCTGCTTCTTTGAGATCTTCTGTCTCTAAGTTCCCGCATATTGGCCATGCCTGGCTTCCCGAAGATCCCAGGAGCCTGGGGTCCTGCCACAGAGCTCCTTCATCCCACAGCAGCAATGAAATGGCTTGTCTCCTGCCCTTGTTGATGCTAAGATCCTCCTCCAGACCACCAGCTCTCTGCCCAGAGAACCATGGTCATGATGTGATTGTCTACCCTTTAAGCCCCAAACTCACTAAGTGATATTGGGCAAGTCACTCATCCATGAAGGGCCTTAGTTTCCCGTCTGTCAAATAGTAATAACAAACTCACTCTTGCAGAAGGATGCTAAGTAGATTAAATAAGACACCTAAGCGTAAGCTATAGTGATTATTTTAGGAAAATGGATGAATTCAGTTCTAACAGGCCTACTCTTGTAACCTTAAATTTGCACCCCTTTCTCTTGTGAACCCAGATATTGTTGCCAAACCTAAAGGGTTTGTGGAGCGAGACTTCTCAGAAGCCCCCTCATTTACCCAGCCCCTGGCTGACCACACCTCCACTCCTGGCTATAGCACTCAGCTCTTCTGCAGTGTCCGAGCATCGCCCAAGGTAAGGGGTGAAGCCCCCCTGTGCCCTGGGTGGGTGGGGGCAGTGGGGCTGGGGAATCTTCCCAGACAGCTCCTTCAAAGCCCATCCCAGCCCACAATCTCCTCAGCTCTCTTCTGACCATGTTCCCTTAGCCCAAGATCATCTGGATGAAAAACAAGATGAACATCCAGGGTGACCCCAAATACCGTGCCCTCTCTGAGCAAGGCATCTGCACCCTGGAGATCCGGAAGCCCAGCCCCTTTGATTCTGGGGTCTACACCTGCAAGGCTGTCAATGTGTTAGGGGAGGCATCCGTGGACTGCCGGCTGGAGATCAAAGGGAAAGGTACAAGGAACATCCTTCTCCAGGGACCGTCCTTTAATAGAAACCACCTCTTCTCCTGCCCGACTAGATGAGGCTGGGTGCTGGAAATCAAGGCAAGATAGAGGGTTAGTAAAGACGAAGAGATCTGGCTAGTGGAAGGATTTTCCAAGTGGGAGGACAGCCCAGTGTAGGGAACGGAGGTAGTAGAGTCTGCCACCCAGACTGATTGATTACCTGGGGTGAGGGCCTGTAGCCTTGAGCCCCTCTCGTCCCACTATCCCCAACTCGGGTCCCCTGCAGACTCGCCCCTCCCCCACTCTGACTGTGGCATCTCTTCCAGCATCAGCCACACATTGAAGAGCGACAGGAGGCTGTGATGAGGAGAACGGTAAATGGCTGGACCCGCGGCCTCTGGGGGCAGAGGCCAGAGCAGGGGGTGGGGGTGGGGCGGGGACAGGGAAAGGTGGCATTCAGCTCTGGGGACAAATCTGCAGTCCCGGGCAATGTGCGCATAGGACAGGGGTCTAGTTCAGGGCATTCCCTTGGGCCTGTTTCCTTGTCAGCAAAGAGGGGACAACAACCTGTGTCCCACCTTCCCTCCCAGGTGGTTCTGAGGCTCCGGACATGGATCCCAGAGCTGCAGGGGCAGAGCTAAGTGCTGGGCATTGGGCCCTTGGGGTGGGAGGCCTGGGAAGAAAAGAGGGGCGTTGTGTCCCTCTGCCCTGTCTCACTTCTTCAGCAGGGCAGGTAGAGCCCAGCTCTGTCTAACCCCAGGGCTCATGAAGCGTGTTCTCTGCCAGGTGCTGCAGACCTGGAGAATCAGGGCCACCAGACTCAGAATCAAGCTCCACGAATGTCCCAGAGCCCTGTTCACATGGTGATGGCTGATGGCTCTCCTCCCTGGTACCTGCCTCGCCTCCCTCCCCTAGAGACTGGAGCCCAGGAGCCAGGGTAGGCCTGGCAGGCCCTAGGCCAGGCTTCCTGGGCACGAGGGGGCCTGGGAGGTGCAAAGACTGGATGCCCCTGCAGAGAGGTGCACTCTGGGTGAGAACCGCTCAAATAAAGGTGTGTGGTGTGTTTCGGTGCGGGGGCCTCTGTGCCAGTGAGCGTCGTTGTGATGGGGGAGGCGCTGTGTCACAGCGAGGGGGCTGGAATGCGTCACCGCGAGGGGGTCTCCACGTGTGACATCAGGAGGAAGATGTCAGTGGGAGGGGACTCAGGATCTAAGGGGGGTTTCCAGACATGAGATTTTTAAGATCTTGCTTTCACATTCAGGGTATTCTATGCCAAGAGCATAACTATAGGAACAGACACACTCTTCTCTAGAACCCTCCTTGCTCTGAACGCCTCCATACCCCCTCCCTGCTTCCCCCCCCCGGCCCCCCCACTCTCTTCTGCTGAGGTTGTCTGCTGCCCTCAGATGGCGGTGAGGGTGGGGAGCCAGGGGCATGCTCTCCATCAAGGTTCACAGTCTTTATTAGTCAGGTGGCCCTCCCTAGGAGCCAGGGCACATCCTACCTCCGAGAAAGGAAAGGACCTGGAATCACACACAGAACCCCCCACCCCCACCCCTCTGTACAAGGGCCCACAGAGCTGGCAGAGGGTGGAAACTTCCCTGGATGCTCTGAAGCTTACACTGTGCCACAGAGCCCCAAAGCCCCTGAAAACTAGTGCCAGGGATACTGGGGGCATTTAAATGCCAGCAAGACCTCCCTGCCTCACTCTCAGGGGTGTGGTCTCCCCTGGCCTGTTCCAGCCCGTCACAAGTCATCCCGTGAGTACCCACAGTCAGCACTTTCCCTTGTCCACACCCCCGCCCTCAGGCAGGCAGAATGCTCCCTCACGTTGGCATATCTGGGGCTCTCCTCTCCATCTGGCCCAGAAACAGCAGAGATGGGCGTCACTTAGAGAGTCCAGGCCATCCTCAGGGGCTAGTGGAGCTGGTAGCCCAGATGACAGGTAGTTATAGCCCAGGCTCCTCCTTGGGCCGCGCGGGGCCGGAGCAAGGCTCAGTGCTGCCACCCGGTGGCTGTGTGCGGCCTGCCCTTCAACTCCGCATGAGCTCCAGCGGGCTCGGAGCCCCCTTTCCGGGTCCCAGGGCTGGTGGAGAATAAAGCAAAAGTTGGGAATGATTTCTGGACCCGCTCTTTCTGCCTCTTCCAAGTATAAACCTGGGCTCCCCGGGGCAGGGACAGCAGGCACCCTGGCACCCGGCATGGCTAGCCGCTCAGGGTCCGGGGAGGCAGGGACTGAGGCTCCATGATTCCTGCCCCTCAGTGGCTCTGCCACCTTCTACAGAAAGGAGAGAAAGCAAGACCATGATGTGCAGTTTCTCTCCCTCCCTCCATCTAGGAGGGGATCCTCTCCTCTCCTTAGGCTTGGTCCCAGGTTTGCACATCCACCACGAGAGACGAGCAGGCTCCCCTGACTGCCATGGAGCCCAAGCTTGCCCTCCCAGCCCACATGGCCCCTTTGCAGCCTCAGTCTCCCCAGGTCCATCCAGCCCGAAGCACTGGGTTGCCCGTAGATGGTCACACAGCTGGGGAGGCTCAAGCCACTTTCCTCCTCTCCTCAGGTTGCCTGGTTCCTTCCTCATGGACCGCCCTCCCAGACCTCCTCCAGGACCCGAGGTGCAGGTCACCCACACCCCACAGCCCAGCCAGGAAGGCTCAGGAGTGGGACCAGTGGGGACGTGGGACTGGGCTGAGATGCCCCCAATGTGGGCAGGCAGGATCGGAAGGTGGAGTCTAGTCGTGGGGCCCCTCTTCAGGGGGGTCCTCGTCAACGGGGGGTGTGGGCTGGCAGCGGAAATGGTCATTCCAAATCTTAAGGAAGGTGACCCGGAACTTCTGGATGCGGAAGGCATAGACGATGGGGTTCATGGCCGAGTTGCCGTGGGTGAGGAAGATGGCGATGTAGATGAGGATGCTGGGCTTCTGGCAGGAAGGGCAGAAGAGGGTGATGCAGTTAAGGATGTGCAGGGGCAGCCAGCTGAGGGCGAAGAGGAAGAGGATGAGGGCCAGCGACTTGGCAATCTTCAGCTCCTTCCCATAGTACTTCTGCGGGTCACCAGAGGAGGCCGACACCTTCTTGTTAAGCTGCTTGCGGATCAGATAGAAGACCTCCAGGTAGATGAGGACCATGAGCAGCAGCGGGGGTAGCACCCAGACAAAGAAGTTGAAGTAGACCATGTACTCCATGCTGATAACCTTCTCAAACTCGCACTCAATCACGGGCTCGCCCTTGGTGCCGTTGGCTGCCCAGGCCCGTTCCACCTCCCCGAGCCTGTTCCAGCCGAACATGGGCGTCAGACCCACCACAAAGGAGAGAATCCAGCAGCCGGCGATGGCCACTGCCGCCCTCCGGGGAGTCACCACCGTCTTGTACCTGGGGGAGGGGAGAATAGAGTGTGAGTCCCCCCCGCTAGGCTCCACCAGCCCTCAGGGGTCTCTAAGAGGAGGCCCCCTCCCCAGCCAGGGCCCAGCGAGTGGGGAGCTGCGGGTCTTTGGCTAGAGGTCTGAGTCTTCAGGATCTAAGATTTGGGCCACAGCTTTGCAACGCACTGGCTCATCTCGCCCGCAGAGGGTGGGAACCCTGGGTCACATAAAAATCACGACGAACTAAAAATCAAGGTAAAAATCGTAACAGAAAATAGCAAAGGACCTCCCGGAGGAGTTTTAATAAAATCACCAAAGTAAAAACCATTGGTCACCTCATCGTTGCTGCGTGGCGGCGGTCCTGGTAAGGTAGGAAAGCCTTGACAGATGAGGGAACTGAGGTTCAAAGCGATCACATGGCAACACTTTGCTGTGCTACGCTGACCCAAAACAACCAGATCATCAGTGAGCCGCTCTTCCCCTTAGGCCAGCTGACACAAGTGCCCAAAAAAGCCTTGCACACCTCCCTCCTTCCGGCTCTGCCCCATACCCCCCTACCAGTGCCCCCACCTCCCCTTCCAAGCTTACCTCCCCTTCCCCCTTCCAATCACCGCGCAGTGCTTATCTCCTGAGGGCTTGTGCTCAAGCACCAGCTCTGCACCCCCAAGCTAACGGGGGAATCATTCTCAGGAAAGACAACTCATGTTCACGGAGCATTTGCTACAAGCGAGGCACTTGCGTGCATGCATGCATGGGGGTGCATTTGCTCAGCCAAGTGCCAAACAGGCGTGCTTTCTGTGCCAGTAAGAAAGGATCTCTGCAGCTCACATTCTGGGTGAAGAGGCAGACGACACAATGTCCTGGGAGCTCCCCACTTCCCTTTAAACCAGTGCAGCCTGCAGCCAGCGCGTCCTCTGCCCACACGCCACCCCGGAGAGAGTGCCAGGGGCTGGGGCCCACCCGGCTTGGTGCTGGGGAGCCAGCTCAGTGCAGCTGGGCTCAGCTTGCCCAGTTTATTTTCCAGTGTGGCTTCTGAGATGGATGGAGTGCCCCCCTGAGCCTGTAAGCAGCTACTGAGACCCATGGGGGTGAAGGCGGAGGCCTCCCTCCGACTTTGGTTTCTTCTGTCGAGTGCTGCAGGATCGGTGGCTTTCTTCTTCACAGTGATGATACTTATGGCCCCTCTCACCCTGGACACCGTTCCACGCACCACAGCCCACTGATCCGGGAAGGCTTTATGGGGAGGGGGAAGGGAATGACTTGGGGGTGGTGGGAGAAACCAGATCCCCCCATCCCATCAAGGAAGCAAGCACTAGAAGGGATCATGGAAGCTCTTTTCCAATCTCCTCATCGTTCCAATGGGAAAGGGAGGAACCTAGATGATTCCAACACGTCAGTGTGGTGTCCCCTCCCCTACTCTGTGATCACAGGGCCCTTGTTTCCCCAAAGCACCAAGGTGCCTTGAAGGCCCCCAGTTCACTTGTGCCTCCTTAAGTTTTCTTACACATAATCCTTGCTATCTTGCAACTGAAGCCCATTCCCTCCTCTTGGGTCCCTAGCAGGAGGGCCAGCCTGGTTCACACACTAGAAGTCAATCTGCAACCTACTAGATCAACTCTTTCTCAGTAAAATGAGACAGTGGACCCACTTCAGAGACTAAGGACCAGATGAGACAACATAAGTGAAATAGTCTGTAAACACCCCACCAATATTCCTGTGCCCGAGCTCCTCCCGTCCAAGCCCCTAGTAACACTCACGCTTGGAAATCCTCCCGTATCTCTAGGTGCTCAGCCAACAGGGCCTAACGGCTCTGCAAATATCTGGCTCAGGGCTTGTTAGTGATGATCTCAGAGGGCTCCCCACACACCCTATGGTGAAAGAAGCTCTGGGTGAATCCACAGAGCAAGACCGAAGGAGCAGAGATCATTCTGCCGAGACAGAAGGCTAAGGGACACTGCTATGGCTGTCATGAGGTTGGGGTGGGGGGCAGGTTTCCAGGGTGAGCCTCAGCAGGACCTAATCAGGCTGCAGCGGCAGGAGGAAGGATGGAGGCCAGGCACCTGCCCTTCCCTGCCCCCCCGCCCCGGGTCACGGCCCGTCGCACGTATGATTTATATCATGTTTATCGTTCACAAAGCCCTTTACATTCATGTCTCAGGTCATCCCCGTAACCACCCTGTGGACATAATGGGATTACCATTTCACAGATTAGGAAACCCAGGCCCAGAAATGGCCCAATAACTTACCCAGGTCTCCAGACTCCAAGACCAGCTCTCCTCCTGGGCACCAGGCTCACTGTGGGTCACTTAGATATGGGATGATTGGCAGATTGCGAATGTCCCCTTCCTAAGAGCTTTAGAATGGGAACATCTGGACCCTATTCAAGGAGGGTATGCCCAGAAATAGGGGGGTGGACAAGGTGACCTTGTGCTGCCATCCAGCCTGGGGATTGGGGGTGGGGGGAGGCTGCCCAGGACACACATCTGAGCAATGATGACCACTGAGAGAAGAGGTGGGTCCCGACACTGACCCAAGTGTGAGAAAGGGAGGAAGCAGCTTCTCACTAGGGAGGTGCCCACTCCCCTCCTCCCCTCGCCCTTCTTGAGGGCCTGGAGCCCCAGGGTTAAAGCTTTCCTGGGGCTCCTCCAGGGCCAGGTCCCAGCAGACCTGCAGCTTAGGGTATCAGTTCTCATCTGTTTTTCTTGCTATTTTCTCCATGGTGGGAAAGGGCTGGACCCAGGACCTTGGCTGAGGTGGGGCAGGCTCCCACAGGAAGGACTGCGCCCCAGGGCCAGGGAGAAACTCACCTCTCCCCACACGTGGGAAAGGGAAGCAGAAGCTGCAAGTCCTGGGGCGCACATGGCGTAGGGCGTGTTGAATGTGCCTCCAAAGCTTGGGCTATCCCTCCCAAGTTGGGGTCCGCGGCCTCACCCCACCCCCGGGGCTGTGCTGGGGACTAGCCAGAGAGACGGCTGTCCTCAGGAACATGCAGTATCCCACAGACACAGGCGGGGGAGCAACAGAATGGACACACTGAAACACCAGTGGGGCCTTGTCCACAGGCAAGCAGGGCGGGCAGCTCCTTACAGAACCAGCCCCATCATGGGTCACTTAGCTTAAAATCCCACCATGGGTGAGCCGTTCCTTTGGGTTAAGAATTGGCCCCTCTGTGTGTTATTTTTAAAAGCCAAGACAGTACTAATTCCAGAGTGTGAGTTAGTCTACCAGCCAGCACCTTCCTGATGATGGTGATAACATGCAGACTGTGTTCCTGGAGCGGTGGGAGGGAGAGGGAGGGCTTCAGGAAAGAGGTGGAAGGGGGTTCCCGGGCTGGCTGAGTGGGGAGATATCTCCCATCACAGATGCCACCAGAGTAAGTGTGGTTCAGAGGTGGACAAGGTGGGGTGGGGGGGCTACCAATCCCACACCCAACAGGGCAGGGCAGAGGACACCTCTGCCACACCCCTGCACTCTGGCAGGGCTGCCACATAGAAGAGGGAGGTTCTGAAGGCTAAGGCGGGGGAAGGGCATTGAAAAATAACAGCTAACTGGGGCGTCTGGGTGGCTCAGTTGGTTGAGCGTCGGACTCTTGGTTTTAGCTCAGGTCATGATCTGAGGGTCGTGAGATCAAGCCCTGGGTCAGGCTCCACACTCAGCGGGGAGTCTGCTTGAGATTCTCTCCCTCTCCCTCCGCCCCTCCCCTCCCACTCATGTGCACGCTCTCTCTCTCTTTCTCTCTCTCTCAAATAAATAAATAAATCTTTAAACAAAAAGAAAAATAACAGCTAACTGATCAGTAATGATGACAACAATAATGCTAATAAGTTAACATTTATTGATACTTCCTGCGGGCCCGGCACTGACTAAAGATAGCCCCATGAGTTAGGTATTATTATGATTATTATTTTCATTTTCTAATTACAGTAACTGAGACTCAGATTATGAAACCTGCCCAAGGTCCCTTAGCGAGAAAGACGTAGAGACAGAATTGCTAAGATTCAGATCTTTCCAAGTCCAAAGCCTGGCTGGACCCAGCGCTGGCACTCCCATGGGATGGGGTGAAGGGGACTTGGAGGGTGGAGCCTCAGAGTGGCAGGGAGCCATGGTGAGCTCCTTGGACTGAGCAGTTCTGAGGATGCTATTAGACCTGCCTGGGAGCCCCCCGACTTCCCTCCAGGTCGGGCCTCTTCATAGACCTCAGAGTGGCAGGGAGCCATGGTGAGCTCCTTGGACTGAGCAGTTCTGAGGATGCTATTAGACCACCCTGGGAGCCCCCCGACTTCCCTCCAGGTCGGGCCTCTTCATAGACCTCAGGCTGGTCTGTTGATGAGCTGCCTAGCTGTTTAGTGGTGGGTGTTGGGGTGACGAAGCAAACAAGGTCTCCCTTTGAGTCATTAAACAGATATTCCATGAACACCTTTAGGTGCCAGGTACCGAGTGGTAAAGGTAGGGTTCAGAAATATTGAGGAGAACAGGCTCTCGTGAAAGTAACCTTCTAGAGGCAGGGGAACAGGAAATAGATGTATAAACAAATAAACGGATCATTTCAGAGAGTGAAATCAATAGGACACCCGAGAGACTGAGTAGCTGGTGGGCAGAGGGGCCTCTCTGGGGAGGATGTGCTGAGCTGATCGCTAAATGATCACCAAGAGCCACCCAGGCAAAGATCAGGGTGGCGGGGGAGGCAGAGCTTTCCGCGCAGAAAATACAGCAGGTGAAGGTGCTGAGGCTGGAGGGCAAGGAGCAGAGAGCCGCTAGTGAGGCCGGTGAGGGCAAGGGTAGGGCGGGTCAGTCCCAGCTGTGGTCAGGGACAGCCACCTAGGGCTGGGAGGGCCACAATCAAGGTTCTGGGGTACATTCTAAGTGCAGGGAAGCCATTGCAAGCAAAGGAGTAATATCCTCCAGTTTCTGTTTTTAAAAGCTAACTCGGACCGCCCTGTGGAGAACGTGTTGTAGCAGGGAAAGCAAGACAACCACAGGGAGGCTATTTTAGCTGGGGGGAAGTGGACA